AGGACCGAAATGTATGAAAGAATTCCCATCCTGTGAACATCGCCAACACGTTGGAGAGTAGGAAGGATTCATTCTGTGCAGCCGATGTGGAGTAAAGTAGGTCCTGTGTAGAATTTTAAAAGGCAAATTTGTCTTTATTCAGTTTTTTTGCAGCAAGGTGTACAGAACAAAATGAAAGAGACAAGTATAACATGTACAAATAGTCAAACAGAAATCTTGAGCGTAAAGACGATCCAGAAAAGTAATAATGAAGGGCTGTATTCAGTGGATAAAATAAAGAATCAACATCAGCTGATATGGAGATGGCAGTAACATAATTCTCAGGGAAGTACCCCAAGACTAGTCATTGAAAACATCGGTAGGCACCTACATTTGAAGTACCCCAAGACTAGTCATTGAAAACATCGGTAGGCACCTACAGGGAAGTACCCCAAGACTAGTCATTGAAAACATCGGTAGGCACCTACATGGGAAGTACCCCAAGACTAGTCATTGAAAACATCGGTAGGCACCTACATTTGAAGTACCCCAAGACTAGTCATTGAAAAACGGTCGGTAGGCACCTACAAGGAAGTACCCCAAGACTAGTCATTGAAAACATCGGTAGGCACCTACATTTGAAGTACCCCAAGACTAGTCATTGAAAACATCGGTAGGCACCTACATTTGAAGTACCCCAAGACTAGTCATTGAAAACATCGGTAGGCACCTACAAGGAAGTACCCCAAGACTAGTCATTGAAAACATCGGTAGGCACCTACATTTGAAGTACCCCAAGACTAGTCATTGAAAACATCGGTAGGCACCTACAGGGAAGTACCCCCAAGACTAGTCATTGAAAACATCGGTAGGCACCTACAGGGAAGTACCCCAAGACTAGTCATTGAAAAACATCGGTAGGCACCTACATTTGAAGTAATGTACCAAACAGGACTAGAAGAGAGAGAGTGGAATATAGAAAGAAGAGAGAAAAGCGAGAAGCTAGTACTAGAGATAGAAAAAAACTGAAAGTACGGGAGGCGGGGAAGACATAGGGCAGGATTGCAGAGGCACACCATCAAGGAACCTCGATGGTATGACCTAGCGATACGTGGCCAAACACGGACATGAAGGCCAAGTTGATGACCGTAGATCAGTGAGCCAGATAGTCGGGGCCTGACTCCTGTGTAGAATTTAAAATTGAATTAATTTATCTCTGGCAGAGACTAGGGGGGGAGAAAGGAGAATCCCAAGTCTCGGACCAGTCATCATCATCCAGTCTAGGGATATTCATCCTCCATTTCTGATGTAGGGATGCCAATTCAGGGCTGGACACCACAAGAAGGTTACATAGTTACTCTGGCTGAAAAAAGACAAAAGTCCATCCAGTTCAACCAATAAAAAAAAAAAAAAGTTATAATCCTACACCCACAGTTGATCCAGAGGAAGGCAAAAATTAAACCAGCAAAGCACGATCCAATTTGCTCCTGCGGGGGAAAAAATTCCTTCCTGATCCCCCTGAGAGGCAATCGGATATTCCCTGGATCAACTCGGGTATCAGTGGGTTTTTTCAAATTTGAAACATGAAGGATAGACTCCAGCGCAGAGTAAGAGAGGGCAATTTGTTGACCGGAAAACTGGCTTCTGTAATCATGGTAATATCTAGATTAATAATAATGCGGGGCGGATTGAATTTAGCTTGGAGAAATGAAAATGGGAACAATCCACTATGACTGGAGATGTGCTCCAGTGTTTTTACTTTGTATTTAGCCAGGCCTGGGGGTCCAGGATCGTGACAAAGTGGAAAAGAGAGGGATTCAGCCAAAGTGGAGTATGCGGGGACAAGGTGTTAGAGGGGAGAGTTTACACAGTCTAAGTCCAGGCCCGAAGAGTGGTATGCATGCATGGTGTGAGTCCATGGGGTGATTTTAATCCCCTAAAACACTAGAGATTGGAGGGCTGCCAAAGATTGCAAAACTGCCTTTCCAGGACAATAGAAGTGTTGGTTAGATCCAGCTGTAACCACCAGTGCACAGTAACAAGCTGAGCAGAAAGGAAGTACTTGAAACAATCTGGCATTGCCAAACCCCCTCTGTCCATAGTCCTGGTGAGGGTAGTGAGTTTGTATCTGGGCGGCTTCATCCATGAGATTTTATGTTTGACTAGAGCAGTGGTTCTCAACCTTCCTAATGCCCCTTAATACAGTTCCTCATGTTGTGGTGACCCCCAACCATAAAATTATTTTCGTTGCTACTTCATAACTGTAATTTTGCTACTATTATGAATCGTAATGTAAATATCTGATATGCAGGATGTATTTTCAATAGTTCCTTCTGTAATTGTACGAGAACATTTTTGTGCCTGTCCCTTTGGATATTTTCACATGAACTGTCATGACCAGCCCTCAACAGTGGAATACTAACGATCTGATTATCAGAAAGCGTTTTTTTTTTTTTTTTGGCACCAGAATTTTCATTTCGGTGCACCACTACCAATAACACGATCAACTGATCAGCCACGGACGGGGAAGTGGATTTTGATCAATATTTGGAAGATACAATCTGAGATTATCGACCACATCTCTGTTCTCACCATACAATCTCATAAATTGATGGAAATATGGTACAATTGATGGAAAAAAAAAGCATCTCAGTGCGGCCAATCGATGCAAACTGGTTAATCATTTTGCGCCCTGGTCAATCGACTTAAGGAATTTGATGGGAACGGAAGTTAATCTGATTGCCAATTGGATCTGATAGTAAAATTGAAGCGTGTATGGCCAGTATTCCCCCCCCCCCTCCCCCCCAGGGATATCAGCCCTCTCCCACACCAAGTCATCTGTCCTGAGGCTCCTTGTATGACCCCGGAAAGTTTGGGATTGCTGGTCGCTGTGTACTTCCTTCTAGCAGGCCGGGGGCCCCGGTGCCAGCCCTCGTACAAGTGCTGTGAGGAGAAGCCTCCGTGGGAGGTGAGCGGCTGTAGGGCACACGCTCTGCAGGTAACCAGATCCCTCCTCCCCAGAGACAAAGGGGGGCCCGGCTCACATCTATCCAGCTGTTGTGAGCAGCTGCCCGCCCGGGGAAACATGCAGCAGGTGCAAGGGCAGCCAATGGGTGGCAGTGGGGCACCTCCGACCTGCCCCTCGCAGGAGCCTCCAGCCTGGTCGGCCGCTCATAACGCACAGGGAAGAGGGAGCAGGTCAGTCAGTGTGCTGGTGTTAGTTCAGAGTGAGAGGCTCGCAGCAAGCCGGGAGTGCGGGACACCCTGCCGAGCCCCTCTGGCCGCCCTCACCACTACCTCATAGAGTCTATCTGTATGTGGGTGGACCCGCCTGGAGACGGATAGAGGAGCCGTGTCTCGGTTCCTAAGACCATCGGAAATATGTTTTCCGATGGTCTTAGGCGACCCCTGTGAAAGGGTCATTCGACCCCCAGGTTGAGAACCGCTGGACTAGAGTAATATTGAGCACAGGTGGCCTCCATGCTCATGCTATAGTTATTTTAGCAGCTGAGAAGATAAAGAAAATGAGGGTTTGGAGGTGTCTGGGGATCTCATCTGAGATGTCAGCGAATAGTGTCGTTTTGCATTTTTAGAGATGTTCTGTCCTGTTACCGAGAAAACAAGACTAAATATTTGGATCCAGAATCGTTGGATCTTCAGGCAGGACCACCAGACATGGTACATATCACCTACCTGCCCACATCCTCGGAAGTACAAAGATGTGGCACTAAGATTTTCACCAGCCTCGCTAGGACAAGGTACCATCTAGATAATAAATGAATAAAGAAAACAATAGGAGCATGCTGAGTCAAATAAAATGTGCATATATCCAACATATCAAAACCGGTCCCAATTAGTGGACCCAGTGCTTATACTTGTGCTCGGCTACTTGTATATCTTGATAAATGAAACATCTCCAAAAATGTGCTCCACTGTACAGACCACCCTGGGGATAGATGGTTACAGGCTCAGGATCTGGAGACAACCGGCCTCCTGGGAATATCCTTAAAGCGTGAAGGACCATTCTAGGAGGTAGATGGTCAGGAGTCAGTGCTGTGCATCTGGAGGAGACAGGTCAATACCTTTCCATGACACAGGATCTGGCAGTGCCTGGTACTGAAATTCAGAATACCAGGAGTGCACTGCCACTCTACAATGTCCTGGATACTACACTATACTTGGCAACCAATAGAACCAACCCCCTCCCCTCGTCGCTGTCCTCCTGCTACCCACACTGGGTTGCCAATGGAGGGAAGAGAACAGACTCCTCCCCAACAGCTCTCTACTCCACCAGCACCATCCTCCTGCTATCCAATTCAATCCCTTCTCTTACTGCAGAGAGTGACAGTGACATCACTCCTGTCAGTGAGCAGGCTGCTGGAGATTGGAGCCTTGCAGCTGATAATTCTGACAATTATCCTGATTAGCCAGCAACCCCGGCCAAATGTCCGCAAGTCCCCTTTCCTGGACATCATGATGACCCGATATTGACCTCACAGCACTGCCTCAGAGCAAACAAGTCAAAGGAATGATTTGCATTTATCATTCCTTGTCTTCAGATCAACCATTTAAGATACCTAACAAACCCAACAGGGAAAAGGGAATTTCTGATCTGGCAAGCCAAGAGAGTTCTAGGTTCTTAACCCCTCGCCTACCGGGCACCTATACCCCCTTCCTGCCCAGGCCAATTTCCAGCTTTCAGCACTGTCACACTTTGAATGACAATTGCGCGGTCATGCAACACTGTACCCATATGGAATTTTTATCATTTTTTTGAGACAGAGCTTTCTTTTGGTGGTATTTAATCACCTCGGGGATTTTTATTTTTTCTTAAACAAACCAAAAACCACTGAAAATTTTGAAAAAAAAAAACTTTTTTTCTTAGTTTTTGTTATACAATTTTGTAAATAAGTGATTTTTCTACTTCACTGATGTGTGCTAATGAGGCTGCAGTGATGGGCACTGATAGGCTTCACTGATGGACACTGATAGGTGGCATTGATGAGGAGGCACTGGCAGGTTGCACTGATGGGCATTGACAGGCATCACTGATGGGCACTGAAAGGCAGCACTGATACATGACACTGATAGGTGGCACTGATAGGCAGCACTGACTGGCACTGATAGGCGGCACTGACTGGCACTGATAGGCAGCACTGACTGGCACTGATAGGCGGCACTGACTGGCACTGATTGGCATTGATAGGTGGCACTGACTGGCACTGATGGGTGACATTGAAAGGCAGCTCAGATGGGCACTGATATGTGGCATTGATGTGCACTGGTATGCACTATTAATGTGGCACTGATGGGCACTGGCATGTGGCACTGATGAGCACTGACTGCTGGCACTGATGGACACTGACAGATGGCACTTCTGGGGCCACACTGATCATCAGGGCACACTGATCATCAGTGCCCTGATGATCAGTGTACATGTCCCCTCCGTGGAAAACCGATTACCGGATCTCCTCTCCTCTGTCAGCGTGACAGCTCGAGAGGAGAGCAATGCCGATAACCGGCATTTCCGTGTTTACATGTGATCAGCTGTGGTTGGACACAGCTGATCACATGACCGAGCCGACATCTTTGGCTCTTTCCGTGATCCGCTGTGTCCGAGGGACACAGCGCACCGGCGATTGCCGCGCTGCTCGCTCCCTGAGCATGCGCGGTGAGAATATGACGTCCTATCAGAACGAGAGAACCACCTTGCACCCGTCATTGTACTATAGGGCGGGCAGGAAGGTGGTTAAAATGTAGCAAAAACTTAACAGTCCACACTAAATATGTTCCCATGAGGGCTGTAGTTCTTTTTATATTATTGTGTGACCAATACCATCCAAAATCATTCTTTCTTTCATTTCCCAAAGTTATCCTGTCTACAAGGAGACCTGTATAGATCACATGATGGCACCAATGAGGATGGAGGAGGACCGGAGTCACATGCCTGAGAAGATACTAAACCTCACCCTGGAGATCATCTACCTGCTGACCGGAGAGGTGAGGAGGATTCTGGGAGGTCACATGACATCACTCTTATCTCTATTAATAAAACACAGACCTGACCGGAGAGGTGAGGGGGATTCTGGGAGGTCACATGACATGACATGACATCACTCTCATCTACTATTAATAAAACACAGACCTGACGGAGAGGTGAGGAGGATTCTGGGAGGTCACATGACATCACTATTATCTCTATTAATAAAACACAGACCTGACCGGAGAGGTGAGGAGGATTCTGGGAGGTCACATGACATCACTCTTATCTCTATTAATAAAAACACAGACCTGACCGGAGAGGTGAGGAGGATTCTGGGAGTCTTACATGATATTCCTATTGGTTCCTCAATACAGAGATTTCCTCTTCCGAAGTCAGGTGATCATATGACCATCACAGTGCCTCCATGTGAGTCCCTAAACCCTGAGAGACACAACATGCAGAAGATTCTAGAAGTCACCAAGAAGATGATGGAGCTGCTGACAGGAGAGGTGAGCGGTGCCGGGAATTCTGGGACATTCTCCAGTAACAGACAAGGGATGTGTCTGGATGGTGACTGTATCATTGTGTGTGTCAGGTTCCTATAAGGTGTCAGGGTGTCACTGTCTATTTCTCCATGGAGGAGTGGGAGTATTTAGAAGGACACAAGGATCTCTACAAGGACGTCATGATGGACAATCAGCCGCCCCTCACATCACCGGGTAAGAGGAGACTTTATTGTAAAGGAGAGAGCAGTACGGAGGATCCACCTAGATCCCCCATCATCTGATAAACACATAGAAACAATGGATTCAGTCAGTGTGTGTGTTTCCTACAGATGGATCCAGTCATGGGAACCCACCAGAGAGATGTCCCCGTCCTCTGTATTCCCGGGATTCCACACAGGAAGGTCACACCATATTCCCTCACCATCATCAGGTAGATGAGGAACAATCACTGATAGTATCATTAGGATCTGTACATTATCTGCATTGTTACCATTGATGTCATTTTTATTATATATTCAGAGTGGAAACCTGAGAGATTCCTAAAGTTGATATTAAAGAAAGTGATAAAAGAGGAGGGATGATGAGGATGGGGTGATGGAGTCAGAGATTTCTAAAAGGACACAAAGATCTGTACCAGGACACCATGGTGGAGTCATCCAGCTACAGGAACCCACCAGAGAGATGTCCCCGTCCTCTGTATTCCCCGGATTCCACACAGGAAGATCACACCATCCCTCACCATTACAAGGTTAGTGAGACATAACATCTAGATCGGGTCTTTAAATTTCCTTGCTCACATTTGGCGAGTGGAGATAATGTGGGGGCGAGTGTGACCCAGGCAGGGCCACCTATAGCCGTAAGATAGGTATCTCGTCAAGATCGGTATCCCTGCAGCTACTGCACATGTGCTAGATCAGTGAAGCATTCATGGAAAACTAGCCAAGCTTGAGCCATGGTTTTCTCCAAAATCGGTTATCTCCATCAATTCTGGGCAACAGTGACAATCCCTGGGAACACACGGAGGGTGGAGGTAAAGGATATCTTGTGCATTGTGTCAGGGATATCTGTCCTCTCCATTCACAGTGCTGGTCACAGGGGACACACATGTGAGGGGGATGGAGGATTTCATGGCCATTCTGCATGAGGACCGCAGAAGCTGATCGGCTGCATGGACTTAACTCCTCAATTGCCAGACACCTTTGCCATGAACTACTTGTAATAATTAAAGTACTAATTAACTTACAAGGGAGAGGAAACGGATTGGGGGTCTGTCAGTGGGGAAAGGGGTGGAAAATTGGGGGTGGGGGTCTGTCAGTGGGGGAGGGGGGCAGTAGGTGAGGGGTGAAGGTCAGTGGGTGGAGGGGGCAGAAAGTGGGGGTGAGGGTTTGTCAGTAGGGGGAGGGGCAGTAGTAGAGGGGTGAGTTTGTCAGTGGGGGAAGGGGGCAGTATTGGGGTAGGTGTTTTGTCAGTGGGGAAAGGGGACTGTAATTGGGGGTGGGGGGATCTGTCAATTGGGGAAAGAAGGATGGAATTGGGGGGTGGGATCTGTCTGGGGGACTGGAGGAGGACATAGGATGGAAGAGATGGGACTGGAGGAAGAGGACATGGGATGGGGGAGATGAGATGAGACTGAGGAAGTGGAGGACATGAGATGGGGAGATGGGACTGGAGAGAAGAGACATGGGATTGGGGAGATGGGACTGGAGGAGGAGAAGGACATGGGATGGAGGAGATGGGACTAGAGAGAGGAGGAGTGGAGGACATCTGATGGAGGAGATGGGACTGGAGGAGGACATGGGATGGGGGAGATGAGACTGGAAGTGGAGGACATGAGATGGGACTGGAGAGAAGGACATGGGATGGGGGAGATGGGACTGGAAGAGGAGGATATGGGATGGGGAAGATGAGACTAGAAGAGGAGGACATGAGATGGGACTGGAGAGAAGGACATGGGATGGGGGAGATGGGACTGAAGGAGGAGACATAGGACAAGAGAGATGAGACTGCAAGTGGAGGCCATGAGATGGGGAGATGGGACTGGAGAGAAACCAATGGGATGGGGGAGAGGAGGAGGAGGATATGGGATGGGGAAGATGAGACTAGAAGAGGTGGGGGG